TTTTTTAAAATCTTTGTTTACACGTAATATTTACGGATATAAACGAGTTTGATGATGAAAATGTTTTGTCTTTGCGCATAAGTTCACACGATTTTTTTATTTTCTTTTGTCTTTTACATTACACATCGAAAAACATTTACTTAATGTATTGGCACATAGGTGGAAGCGTTCGCACGTACCGAATCAATTGGTTTTTTTTTTTGCGCGGACAAATTAAACAAGTTTGACACAAATGGACAAATTGCCGGAATTTTTTTCTTTCTCTTCTGCTTCATTTAAAGCTAACTTTAATTTAGTTACAATAATTACTTTTATTAAATCTCACCTATTAATTATTTAAGAGCATTTATTTATGGCGGATGATTATATGCTATATCATTTGGAAAATATTATAACATATAAATTGGATGTTACGAAATACATTTACAAAATGAATTGCCTCATTAAAATTCTTAAATACTTTTGTAAGATCCAATATTATTATAGATGTTTATGTGTAGATAAGGTTTTCAATCATGAAAATTGTATATATATGATCACATCGTAGCGGACTTCAGCTATTTTAGCTGAATTATTTAATAATAGGAATTTTTTGAAAGTATTCTTTTTAATAATAGAAACATAAGGTAGCTTAGAAAAGAGTATTGAGTGACAATATTTATAAATTTTTTAATAAATAGTTTAATGAAGAAGGGAAATATTGTTGATAAAAAGTCGTACAGTCGGTGCATTGTTTCTGAAATATTTATTCGTTCGATTAATGAATGAAAAAATCGCGAAAAAATATTCATTCGTTCTCAACATAAAAAATATGATTAGGCATGCTTTCTATTTATAGTGCCTTATAATTTTTTATCGTTTAAGTCTTTTTTTTTATTAAGATAATGCAATAACGAATGCCTTTTTTTGTAAATAGAATGGGCCAGTATTGTGCACCTAATGATAACGTTGTATTATTCATTAATTTCATAATATTTATTTCATTTATACACCACATATTTTCGAAATAAATTATACAGCTCTTATTATTTTATGGTTTCTTTCAAAATTTCTCGCGCACTCGGTCGTGCATATACATTCGTTTTCGTCATTTTTTAAAAATCATACATAGTAATATTAATTATTTCATGTGCTTTATTAAAGGGCTACCACCACGTATGATGAGTATTTTTGATAAAGAAAAAATTGCGCAGAATTGTAAAGTATGCGATGAAAGCATCGACTCTACATTAAACTTGTTATAAAAGCTCTCGATCTTTTTCTTTTTTCATTTTTATTAATTATTGATATATGTAATTCGTAATGCTGTTTCAATTTTTAATAGCTATCTAAGAATCTGTTATATACATTATTTACATATGAAGATGATTAATTTTTATTTCGCACATTTTTTTTCTTTCTCATTCGCATTCCTTCATAATATTAATGATTGTATAATTAGGATTGACTATGTCTTAGAATAATCAACGGAATAATTATTTTTTTTCGTTAATCATGTAAATATCAAACATCGTGCCGTATCGTTTTAGATGGTATGTCCATCTCCAAGGTACTATTGTGGACGAATATCCGTTTCGCAACTACCACCATTTGAATTTTTCCGCTTCACTGATTAAAAATTGTAAATACTGATAAAGGTGTTCCATTCAAAAAGTATATTATATTTTATGTAAAACTAAATTTTTCTTTCTAAGGATATTTCATAAATAGTTATTTAAAACCAGATTATTTTTCAAACTTTATTCAAGTTAATTGTATTTAATTATAATAAATAACAGAAATTTGTTTAAACTTGGTAGAAAGCAATTTTTTAAAATCAGTGTATCACACTTTCGCTGCATCGAACAGTTTTCTAGAGCTTTATAAAGCGAATACTTTGGAGATTACATAGTCTATGAAATTGTTGTTTTTACTTTCTCCCACTCTTTCAGGTAATATTTAAGTTGATACATAATTCATTAATTACAAATATAAAACATGTATATGTAAATAGAACTTCTTAATTATACGCGAACATATTTTTTAATTGAGCATACGTTGATTACTCCGCTTTTTGTTTTCATTTTTCTTCTATTTTTCCGTCTCAATTCATCAGTCTAAGCCGCATTTCTACGACTACGCATATGTTTATAACAGATGAATCTTTCTTTTTTATTTTTAACTTTTTTATTGTATATCATTCAACAATACACGGTTATTCGTAAGCCTCAAAACTTTCTCTCATTTTTATAACAAATCATCGCAATAACCAATATAACAGTATATGTAATATTGTGCTACACAAACGTTTTCTTTTTAAAAGTATTTTTTAACATAACGGTACACGTTCGGTATATGACAGCTATTAGCTGTAATATTATTTACAGTGTACGTATTTCGTTGTACACTTTTAATATATTTTATTCAAACATAATAATTTTTGAAACAACAAAATCACAGAAAATTTTTCACCACGAAAAAGGATCTACGGATTTTAAAATATATATATTTTGTAATGTATCCATTTGTATAAATAAGTGGAATTAAATGAATATTTGCTTTTCTTAAACGTGACATATTAACATGGAAAATAGTGTTTTATACTCAGTGTATGAATGTATAATTACGATAGGCCAAAAACGTATATTTAAAAGTTTTAGATACTTTTTTATTACCGCGAATATATTGCTTCATCAGATTTTATTTTGTTCATTTTGTTTTAAAAAATAGATATACGAACTACTTAGGCTTTCGATATGAAATAAAAAAAGTGCCGATGAAGTTTGATTATTGTTATATTCGCGGTAGTATACTTGATTCATTGTATTTTTTTTCTCTTGTATAGATTTTAATACTGTATTGAGTATTATTTTTCAATAAATTGCCTACAGCATAGTGCGAGACCCTCATATGATCCATTTGAATTACTTTTGTTATTATTTTATACCCATGTCTAGTATTAACTGTTTTACCACATTGTGTTTGTGTAGATGTATATGTTTGTGTTTGCTTACTTTATGCTATTTACATGATCAATTCAATGTGAAATAAATGGAAAAATATATTGCATAGATAAATACAAACACTTAGCTGAAATGCATGCATATATTTATTTTAATATGATTTTAAGAGAATGTTGTGACCCTCGGTTGCCATGAATTGTATCTTCCATATTTATTGTAACTGTACACTGAAAAGAATAAATTACTTAAAAAGAATATTATTTTCTTGTAATATTTTAGCCAATCATTTTTAATCATATTTTTGTATTCAATTTCATTAATTATGTATTTAATTTATTAATATTTTAATTTAATTAATTAATATTTAAATTTTCATATTTTTTAATACAAATTTCTATTTTAACGATGCCTCAAGGTTAATTTAGCTTATAAATTAATGTGAAGATTAAAATGTAATTTATTTTTTAAATTAAAAAAATAATTTTCGATCAGTACTATGTATATGATAACATGTTTAATTAATTTTTTTCAGTGTACATGTTGATCAATCTGAAAATAAAAGATAAATTAATCCTAAACAGAATTTTTTTTTTTAATATAGGGAAAAATAGAAAAAGCAGTTATTTAGCAACGTAATGACATTACGTATGCTACTGTCTTCTTTAGAAAGATTTGATACTAATATGAGAAACGACATTTATGTCTTTTGAATGATTTTTCACATTTTTATTAATTATTTTAAAAAAAGCAGACTTCTGCACCGATTTGCGCTCACCGTATGATATCTAATTTCATTTTCATTCGTGTTCGATGCATAATAATGTATTTCAGTACGGAATTCTTTTTGTCTGTTTTTGTTGTTCTTATGTATTGACACAGCAATTTATATGGAAGGCAAATATACTGTGAACTTTTAAATATCTTTTTATTATAAGAAAAACGTCAGTCATCGTTAAATATACTTAAATACTAACTTTACATTTTGAATATATTGACTTATCTGGAAGCGACACTGAAAACGTCACGATCACCTAGTGGTTGTCTGTGTTGTTCATTGTTTGTTCGTTTACTTATAAATCTGATAGAATAAAAGTAAACTCCTCTGAAAATTTGATAATTTTATGAGATTGAGCATCGCAATAAAAGAGAATCAGTATGCAGATTGTATTTCCTTAAGTTTCATTCAGGAAGGAATATTTATATATATATATATATATATATATATATATATATATGCGTGCGTGCGTGCGTGCGTGCGTGTGTGTGTGTGTGTGTGTACGCGCGCGTGTGCGTGTGTTTGTGCGTGCAATAAAAATCATCGAAGGACACAAAATTTTTCATTGAATAAATAACAAACAGATCGATGATTTTCACACTATTTTATCTCTTTAAAATAACTATATAAAACTTTGGTTACAGCAAATTTTCAGAGAAGAATAATAACTAAATAAAATATTAAATTAAAAAAAAATTGAATAAACGAATAGTGATCTATACGAATAATCGTTCGCATTATATATTAAAATCCTAAAATCACTTTCTCTCAATCTCGCAGTATTTACACACAAACGTAAATTCTTATTGTACAAACTATCGCAGTTCACCGAATCTTGATCGACGGTGTCTATACGTACATTATTATTATTTCTTCTTCATACAATTTGCTAAAGAACTGCAGCGATAAACTCATAGTTCTTCTCGTCATGTGTCTAGTTTTACAAAAAATTACTTTTTATCAGTTGAGTAAAATGGAAGAAAACTTATATATTACAATTAATACCAGTGTAAATTTTAAATTATAATGCGTTTTGTTTATCGTCATTTTACCGTGTACACTTAATTATCATATTGGAAAAAAGATTTCAGAGCATTAGACAATCGATTATCATCGGTATTAAGATTTTTAAAGGAAATACAACTTTTGAGAAGAAATTTATAAAAATTTTTCAATAAAGTAACGAGGAAATATTTTAAATTCACACACAGGGTATTTGTGAATAAAGAGTATGAAATGTTCAATTGGTTAGAATCGTTCGTCGAATATATTTTAACCATACGTCATTAATTATATGGTCCTGCTCATACACAGGTATGCAAAAAAGCCCATTATAATATGTATAGGTATGCATTGCAATACGCCAACATAATGGATCGTAATGCAAGGCCGTGTAATAGAGAGCTCGACCAATGGTGATGGCTTATCACCGTCTGGATCGTAAGATCTCTTGATCTTTATTCAATGGGTTATTTGGCGGGCTTACGGAGCATAGACTGGAGATAGAATTAGAGTCTGGTGCTGTCCTCGTCACTGTACCATTCGCTCGTCTCGGCAGCTTCAGCACACCTGAGAGCTCAGACGAGATGGCCGTCAATATCAGAGTACTGCGGTGTCGATGTGAAAGTTGACAGTGGATGCCCGTGGGAATGTACGGGGATGGGGGCCGCACGTGCAAATGTAGCTGGCGGGGGGGGTACCGTCGGGGGTAGGGGTGATTTTGTTCCAGCAGTCATAACAGTGACGTCTGGGGGGGGCACGGGTCGTGGCAGAGTCCTCGTCCGGGTAAGGGTGCCCATGCCTGGGCCCAGGCCGATGGATCCGCCAAAGCTGCCGACCCCCATCAGGAGACTTGTCCCGTGGCTGCCGAGGCTGTTGCCTTGCTGTTGATTGTGCTGGTGTTGTTGAAGCTGTTGCTGATGGTGATGGGTGGAGGCCGGACTCAATGACGGATAGTAGGCGCCCGGGCCCGGACCCTCGAGAATCGTCGAGGTTGGAGCCGGGCTCGGATTTGCCTCATATCCTATGAAGCGGCCGCTCTCCATTTCCACGCTGTAGAAGTTTACGTCGGAGGGCGGGGCAGGGCTCGGGTTCCCGATGTAGCTCGATTTCGAAGCTGTGCAAATAAATAAGTCCTCGTAAAAGAAAAATTTTTTTCTTCTTCATATTTCTTACATATGCATTATTAGTTCTTTCACTTTTTAATATGAAAGACCGTTTGACAAATATAAGTGCCAGATGTACTAATATATTGGTCTAATTGTCCATACAAGTAGAATTATTTCTTTGGAATGAATAAGTGTACAAGCGTATGCTTTCTTAAGTCATTAATCTATTTCAATTCGTTATATTCAGTTAAAGCTTTTAATAAGTAATCACTGGAAGACCTATCAGCCATTTTTATTCAATTTACTGACTAAAATCTATTTTGTAGAATACAGCAAAAATAGAGTTATATTATTTGTGAGTTACCGTCATGTTTTGGTTATAATAGACATAGTGCACATGCTCTCAAAAATTATCGAAAAAAATAAATTAATATTTTTAGCCTCAAGCTATTTAAGAAAGCTCACAAAGAAAATGGCGATAGTAAAGCAAAATCTATTACTAAATAATTAAAATCTGGTATTATTAGTGTTTGAATGTATAATTAGGAATTAGAAATTGTATCATACACAGAACTAAATTAAAAAATTGTTTTTTTAATGTGTAAGAAATGCATGAAAATTTTCATTGAAATTAAAAATTTTTTAAATAGATTGATCCATATATATATATATTTACATATTTATTGAAGAAATTTATCATTTAATTTAATTTAAATTAAATTGTAATTTTAACTGTAAAGTTTTGATACATATTAAGAATTAAATAGTAACGATTAAAGTATAACTAATTAAGACATTGAAAAATATTGTTATTTATTACTTATAATAACAAAATGTTTAAAGTAATTATTACGAGTTGTAATATTATTACTATAATTGACGAAACGATTTAATAAGAATCGTGTATTTGTCTTAACACTTTCAAGACGTAGTGAATGCAACAATAATATCTGTAAGAAATAATATTTAGAAAAACGAACATGCAAAAATTAAAGCGAAAAACCTCACAAGCATAATATATCAGCTCGCGTGCTTCTCATTTCTGCCACCTCACAATACTTTTTCTGAGCATGATCTATAGAATTAACGAAGCAAGCCGCTCAATTCTTTTTTTTCTCATTCTCTGTTTACTACTACATATTTTTATAAAAATTTGTATAACAACATCAATTCATTAATTATTCATTCTGTTAGCGGTACTCTCTAATAATTTTTTTCTTTATTCGAGCTCGTTGAATTATTGTGAAATATTTTTGTTTCATAACGATTTTATTTATAAATAATTCAAAAGAGAAAAATCACGTGTATTCAAATTTCATGTTTGACTTATGATAGATACTACATTTACACGTGTAAATACATTAATTTTTTTTACTATTTAACAAAAATTTTTTGCAATGTAAATTAGAAACCATAATGTATAAAAATTTTAATTTAAGTATTAAGAATTTATTTCAGTAAATTTATAATGTTATATAAAATTAAAATTAAAATATCTATTCGAAAGTTATTAATTTTTTATTAATTTTTTTCCCAGTTAAATTTGGCTAATATTGAATAATATGCAAGCATAAATAAAAAAATTTAATTAAATCGTTCTTTGATTATATAGATTTTTTTTTACGTTTGCACGATTAAATTAAAAATTTTTATATCATGAGCTAAAAGTTACAAGAAAAAAAATTAGAGATTGAAAATGTAATGTAATATGTAATTGATCGTGTTTTTTAAAGTGTCATCGGTTGCAAGATGGACTGTTGATGATAATATGCACGCCGAAGTCGATATTAACGTATGATAAAACATTGAGTCAACAGTTACATTCGGGGAATACAGGAGATGGGCAGAACTGGCCAGATCAGATTAAATATCATGAATGTGTAAAGAAGCAAACGGGTTTGTATTGCTTCTTGGATGTACGTGTTGCCTTATGTGCACACATTTACATATTGCAACAGAATTTCAATTTTCATGGTAAAGTCAGCGTGTTGAAAAAAATGTTTATTATCCTCAAGCATATTTTAAATTATACAAATATGCAGTTTAACGGAAGAGCAAATTTTAAAGTAATTTTTCAAACACCAATTTTTATTCTAGTTTACATTTATATTATATTTTTGCACTGTATTATCGTTATTGTGAAGAATTGATAATAAACTATCGTTAAATCGAACAATGAAAATATGGAAAACAATTTATATTTAATGTATGGTGGATCTTCATAGTTGAGGTTTTAATATTTTTATCTATGAGATTAAGTAATTATTAGATATTTATATTTTGCACTACTGCTTTCAGTAATGCAAATGTTACCCGAGGGCTGATAAAACATGATACAAACATGATACAAATATGGGAGACGCGCAGGACGAAATTGCCACTAGGTGCATAAATTTTGCAACTGTCACTCGAAGTGTAAGTGAGTAAGTGAGCGTTTATGTGGGTTTGCGCGTGCGTGCGGTGTGAGTTTGTGGATAGGTGACCTGGCCAGAGGCTCGTGAGAAGAGAGCGATATATGTTGAAACTTGAGAGGATTTTCGGGCACCTAGGCGAGGTGCAGCCGCCGGTACGGCTGAAGTCGCGAGCGGCGCCGGCCTCGGCGATTGTGATGTGTGACGCACCGGTTAGTGTACCACTGGCCGTTGTACGTTGCGGCGGCGAGTCCATGTTCAGGATGCTGGGGATGTGGTTGCTGCGTCGATTCAGGCTGCCCTGTTGGTGCACCTGCATCTCGAGACCGCTTTTGCCGTAGTCCGGCAGAGTCGGGTCGATTAGGTATGTGCTCGCCGCTGTCTTGCGCCCTTCGTCCTACGGTTAAGCAGTTACAATAGGTAAAATAGAGAGGCTCGTTTGCTGCCCTTTATTTTTCTTTATTTTTATTTTTCTTTCTTTTTGTTTTTCATAATTTAATTGCGTATTGCCGAGTTGGCTGTTCCGTAACATTGTGGCGATTATAATTTGATATTTACTTGCAGAACTATCATGTTAATAATGCGTTTTCTCATTTAAGCATTTCAATGTTAGAAGACGGAGATAATTTTGTAGCATCTCACTGTAATTAGATAAAATATGTATTTCATTAGACTCAGTAATGTATTCCAGCTATTTTTTTTATCACCAGACTGTATTATCCAAAAAGTTTTTCTGCATGTATTAGATTGAAACAGTTCTGTTATTAGATATTTAAACTTGCAACTTAAGCAGAGCATATTTAATAATATTTTAAAGTGTATTGTTGTATATATTAAAAAAAAAAAATGTTTTTTAATATACCTATTCTTTACTGGAATAAGAAATCACTTAATATATCATATTATTTAAATGGTAATTCATTATATGAAGATAATCGAGAGATAAAATGTTTGTGCAAAACGAATAGCAATAAAACTTTTTCTTTTTATATTAAAAGTAATGAACGTCAAAAATATCCTGATACATTTTTAATTCAAATGTTTGAATTTTTTTTGAAAAAAATTTCAATAACTGAAATTCAAGAATTTTACAAATCAAATGCACCATTCTATTACTTCCATTAATATCACGGAACAAATTTTATGTTTTGATTAAAAATTTTTTTAAAGATACAATCTTAAGAAAAACTTCGGAAATATAAAATATTCACAAATGTTCGACAGCAGATAAAAATAAAATAGATTGGTATTATGTTAATATTACTTGTTCATCTAATTATCGATTGTATACATTATTCACATAATAATATATTGTAAGTAAAAATTTATATTGTTCTCCAGTACTACTGTATTGATATATTAATAACAACAATAACAACAACAACAACAACAATAATAATAATAATAATAATAATAATAATAATAATAATAATAATAATAATAATAATAATAATAATAATAACAATAATAATAATATGGTTCAATAGCATACTGGTTTTCAATTATCTCTATTAGTCATTTTAACAAGCAGCATATATCGACAGTATTAAATTTCATAAAATGTATTAACTACATTTGTATATTAAAATATTATTCCAAATGTAAGTGGCACTTATAATTTTCTTTCGGAATAGAATACTGTGACCAAATAGCAAAATGTTTTATAAAAGTGTTTCAATATGTAAGTAGGTAAACTAGAATATTAATACAAGTCTATAACATAAATGTTCTAATTCTATTTACAAATTTTATAAATTTTCGAAACTTTTTTTACAAATTTAAATACTATATTATATATTATTATTTTGTCAAATTGATACGTCAATTTGAATGTTCAATACAAATTATAAAATGTAATATTTTTACAAGAAAAAAGCAGTAAAGTGTTTAATCTGCTATAGTACATTAAAAAAATACTTTTATTTAATTTATGAAAATAATATAAATTGATAAGTTTTTTTATGCTTCAATATAGTATTTTTACATGTCTGTTATCAAAATTAGATAGAAAATTATAGAAAATTAAATAGAAAATTTGATATCAATTGTTATTTATTGATAATGTATAATGTTTTATTAATCATTGTAATTTTATATTTCAATAATAATTCTGATCAATGAATTGTAAAAAATATTTTAATTTTATAAAATCAACTAATTGTTATAATATCTATATATCTTCTTCAAATAGCATGGGGATTATTGATTAATTAAAGCTTATAATTATATAGCACTTTGATTAGTATTTCTCAAATTGCAGAATTGTAGAACAAGATTAATAATAATTTATCACTAATACATCGCTAATACTAATTTTAAATTCATATGCTTGATAAGCTAATTTAATTATGGTTCAGTATGTGATATAATTTAAAATTATTTGTTATTATTGCTACCTACCGAAAATAATATCAATTGTTATATATGATTTATGCGTGTTTATTATATTATAACATAATTTATATATATAATTTTACCATGCAAATTAATATTATCAACGAAAAATTTGTTTGTTTTTAATTAATAAATAAACTGCAAAATATTTTTCTCAATTATCAAACACAAGAATAATATAAATATTTGATGGATTTTTAGCATTTTTTTTAGTCAGTTTTTCGTTTTCAATATCTCAGGAACTATCATATAAAACAAACATAATTTTTTGTTGTTATTTAGAATAATAAGTATTTGTTCTAAAACTAACCCCCGGAGGATCTAAGCATTCGGATGAAAGAACATAGAAGTAAAATAAAAGTTTTCATTGGCAGAATAGAAGGAATGAATTCGAAAAGGACGAAATGAAATGAATTGCGGTTTGTAAGCACACTAATTTCATGGTAGAAATATAATTTTTAAAAGAAACAATAACGTGGGACGAAAATGAAAAGGGTTAACAGAACTCAAACCTACCCTCCGGAGTTACTTGTTACTTAGAACATATTGACTGATCGCACTGACCACGTAATCATTAGCGTCGAAATTTACGTCGCTCTTTTCGTCCGACACTGAGCTCAATTCGCCGGTCATTGTGTCGCCGTTCACCGTCGACGGTGCGTACATATCTGCTGTTTGCGACTTGTTTATTCCTATAAATAAGAGACAAAGTTATTATCAACATTCTTACTTACATACTTAATGACTGTATGGAGTCTAGGTTAAATATATTCGAACGCAACTCGTTACTTTTACTCTATGTGATCATGTTTTATTTATTTGGTCGGTAATTTTTTTATAAAATATTGTAAACGGCATGCACTTTTTTGTATTTTAAATATACTAATGTCGTTTGTTGGCTGAAATGAAATTAATCACTCAAATGCTCTTAGCTTACGAATAGAAATTATTTAAATACTAATCGAAAATGAGGGCTCGTGCTTGATAAGTTTTAAAGGTTATAAGTTTAAAAGCTTGATTATTATGTGATTTTGATATATCTAATATTGTATTTTTTTAACTTTCCTTATCTGATATTCGATTAGATTCAAATCTAAATTAGATTTAAAATTAAATAAAATGTACTTATACTAATATATTGGATTGTTTATGTTGCGCGTGTCTTTAATTAAAATTAATTTTATAAGTGAATAACAATAAGTTTTTTTTTTTTTAATATTCAACTTCAAATATGCTTGTTGATTAAATAAACTGTTAACGAAATTTATGCGTTACTTACATTTATCACATTAAAAACTATGATATCGTAATGTAGAAATTCACATATGAGATTATAAAAAATATATATACTTGGATGTATAATAAATGTTAATAAAAAAATAACTGCCGAATTAGAAAGTAAATAAATGATATAAATGATAAAATTAAGTTTTTTACTTATCGGGGAAGAAGTCAATATAATGATGGAAATTGAATCTACGTCTGGAAAATTATTAATACATCTAATTTATACATAAAAAAAAAGATTTTAATCATCATAGTTGTAAAATATGAGTTTAAAATAAAATGTAAATAGATTTTTTTTACAATTTATTTTATAATATAATTTTATTTAATTGCATGGAGTTGCCTTTTATTGTAAACAAAATCATATACTTTCAAATTTGATTGAATTTTATTACAAAAAAAGGAATATATTATATCGAAATAAAATGTATAAATATTTTTTATAGACGAACATTTTAATAAATGATTATTTCAAAATGTATTTGGCATGTAGTTGGAAAATTTTATACTTTATAAAATTATCGGAATATCTAATGGTTGTTTAATATTGTGTTTTTTTTATCATTGTTCAAAAAATTTCTTAGAGATAATGTTCTGGTACATAAAGAAATTAATAAATCAGTTCATTAATTTAAGTTTTAGATGAATAAAATAGTGGCTTTTAGCTAAAGAATTATATGTTTTATTGTATTTCGATAAATCAGTCATTAATTTATATAAAAAATACTACTTTATAATAAAATACTTTTCAATATTATGAAAATTTTAAAATGTACGCACAATACTTGTACTACTACTTGTAAAATAATTTCATATTGAATTGGATTCTCTTGGATTTCTTATTAGTACACTTGATTGCTAATACATTAAAAATCCATTAGAAATAATATTTTATTATTCTTATGTTTTGATTAGATATTTTGGTTTGATTGGATTGATAACCCGAAAGCCATAAGTATAATTCCCAAGTGTATATGACCTCTGTTTTGTTAATATTATATGATCAGACTTACGATCTTTGTTTTTCTTTCTCACGATATACCACAACATGATGAAGACATTAATAACAAAAAAGACGATCGAAGTAGCTGCTATCGTATAAATATACTTCATTGGATTCTCGCCCTTTTCCCTCAGGACGTCCGGTAGATTCTCGGCATTGTCGAGCCCTACACGTTTCGGGAAAAAGAAAATGGTGAAATTGTAAAATAATTACCAGCTCGCTGGGCCTTCTTTTTCGATACGAAGGCAGTATAGACTATGGGCGTGGCAATGAGGAGACAAGCACAGGCGGATACAGCGATGATTATTACGATGATGTAGGAGGAATTTATCTCGCTGACTATCAATTCGTTGGGCGGTCTCTCACCTGCAACCCAAGCAGAAATGCCCCCGTCACCCAATACGCCTAATGTGCTAAGATATGCATGCATGCAAGGAGTCGGGCTTTTTAATTCTTTATTGATCGTCGCTTGGGATTGTTAATTTTCAGTCAAAACGTATTTTCCTTTCTTTGATTTTCTTCAGTTTCGAAATTAACGAAGGTTTTTTTTATATTTATATTATCTTACGTGATAATGGTTTATGTTCGAAAGTAAATTTTCAATAATGATAATTTCGTATTTTTCTTTCGTAAATGCATTCGTTTGTTCAAGATTTTTTTTCTTCGTATTATTGTTTTCATCGCGTAAAAAAAGTTTGATACTTATTTTAATTAAATTTGTTCGATTTATATTTAGCAATAGATAATATACCAAATGATATTCAAATAAAATTACTAACATTTATATAATTATAATTAGTTTATCCGATAATTATGGACAGGCTTTGAATGAATAATTAGATTTTCTAGTTAACTAAACTATCATTGACGAATTCATCGATGCTTTTTTGATATATGAAAGTATTTAACAATTATACTTAATACATATTATTCTATGATATTCGTTGTTTTAATTATTTTATTTTCGAATTTTCGATATTTTATCTTGGAATTATTAATTCAAAATTTGTTTTCATTTATATAATTAACATAAATGTAATATATATTTCTAAAATCTTATATGCTATTTAAAATTTTATATGAGATTTTGAAATAGTTGTAAAACGATTGTCATGTAATATTCAAGGGTAGTTGCAAATATTTAGGAAATTAGTATATGCATGTTATAACAATTATATGAAGAGACGGTTGTCGACAATGATTAATAATAATTATTATTTGTTATGAATATTAATTTTATGAGTATAACATATAAATCTACATGTAACTATGTAAGTATGTATTTACGTGACTATGTAACTATGTAACTACGTAACTATGACTGTGTAACTATGCATTTATTACTAAGTAAGTATGTAACTATATAGATATTTTGGTATAACTACTACATTATGGCTAAATTCAATTTCAATATCACAAACTACAAAATTCTAAAATATTTATTACGAACTCTACGGTTATACAGAATAGTTAATAGAAGATTAAGAATGAAAACTTAAATTTTCTATTTGAAAATTTAGAGTTGGTATTTAAATGTAATAACTTTCACCAGTTTAGTATAAAATGTATATTGAAACTTGGCTATAAAAAAAGTGATATGTGAAAGAAATGTCACGTGAACAATGAAAAATATTAATAATTTCTACTATGGCCAATTATAAATAATTTACGAAAATTCAATATTAATTTTTTGATAAAAATAAAGTGAAAGAAATAAAACTTTCTAGTCATAAAATTGAAAATAAAAACTATTTAACAACAAAGAGAAAAAGAAAACTCTAAATCGTCGGTTAAAATTATTTGTAAATTTTTTTTTCTTTTATCTTATTTATCAATGAAATTTTAGTTTAAACTATATTCTGAAATATTTATCTATAGATTTATATATAAGGAAGAATTTAGGGATAAGACAACTATAAAAATAAAAAATTGCGAACAAGAAAGAAATATTCTTACGCTAAAGTAGTCTAGTGTATAAAGAGAATTGCATACTGCGCGTATGAGAAAAATCCGTTGATCGCAAAAGGGCCCCGTTTATTTGAATACAGGTGGCTTATTATTTTCCAGAGCGAATACCAGCTCGAAAGCACTTCCCAGCCGACTTAAGCATACATCCATCAACCCGCAAATACCGCTGCACAGCCATTAGCAACCAAAGACAGAAAGGGAGACTTACGTAGCGTCTGAACTCTGAGGTGATCCGGCAGAAATGGGCTCTCACCCTTGGAGTTCTTGGCCCTTATGCTGAATAGGTAATTTGTGCCGACTGCTAGATGCTCAACGACGGCCCGGTAATTGCCGGGTGAGACATCCACGTATCGATAGTTCGCTCCGTCCTCTTCGGCTTCGCGCCATCTTATCTGGTGTGAGGTGGGCAGGCCGCCGTCAAAGCCACGCTTCCATGCGAGACTGACGCTGTCGTGGGTGACGTTCAGAGCTTCGAGATCGCTGGGCTCGTCCGGGGGTGACGTCACATCCAGACCAATCGTCTCGGTAGCCTGGCCCATGTACGAGCCGTAGTCCAATTGGCCCACATGATAGACAATGAGGACGGACTGCGAGTTCAACTCCGATAACTGTACAAAAATGTTTAGAACTTTTAAGCCCTCAGTCTTTCAGTTTTCAATCGAAGCCTTATTTGGATAATTTCTACTACGATTGTTATGTAATTTATGTAATCGATCACCTATATAGCTAAATAAATGATTTTATATGCAATTGCATATGCCAACAATTTTGCAGAATTAATGAATATCTAAGCGTGTTATACAAGAAGGTAATGCGAAGGGAGCGTTAGTCTTGAAAGTACGTGCTGATTTTTAAAGTGAAAAGTTTAAATAAGATTAGAGAGGTATGTTCCTTACGTTCGTGTATGTGATGCCGTATTTATAATCGGTCACATTTGGTAGTATGATTTTTCCGTTGAATACCCATGTGAAATGTGGTAATGGTGATCCCCGTGATTTGCAAAAAAGTTTCGCATTCGCACCATTATTTACAGCCACTTTTTTTGTCAGTGGAGTATTAATCATTTCTGGTTTAACTGTAAAATGAAATGAATTTATGATACTTTCATGTATGTTACAATAGACATACTGCTATTTGGAAAAATAAAAAAACTTCACAGGCATAAAAATTTTGTATATCTCGTAGACATTTTTATTAATTATTTTTATTGCTTTTCATCAAATGTAAAATGGAAATTTTCAAATGAACAGTCCAATTTTACGGAAATGCTATTGAAAGGAAAAAAACCATGCAGTCTTTAATATTATGACTATGATTATTTTTATCACTGAATAATGAATAGTGATAATTGTAAAAATTACGGCCGTATTAGATATTTTTACCCTCCCATCATATATCTAGAGAGGACATTCATTTCATAACTTTGAGAAATATTTTTGATATCTATTAGAAAGCTTTTATAATCAACATTAATCATTACGGTATTAAACATTTATTGTTAGTGGAACAGCGTTGAAAAATCGTTGCTAATTAAGAAAAATAAAAAATGAAGTTGTTAAATAAGATATTATATACGTACAATTAGTGATAAAAAGTATAGGTTCCGAAGTAACGTTGCTAATGCCATTATTAACATTGCATCTGTATTCGCCGACGTCGTTGTGATTCGGATTCTTAATCCTCAAATACGATGTTTTATTGGAGAAGTACGTGCTGTAATGGTCGTCGAGATCAGCAATGTTTGTGCTCTGCTTATACCAGGTTATATATTCAGTGCCAATCGGCGAGCCCTCGACTTCGCAGAAGAGTTTTGCCTCGATGCCCGTCGGATAAATTACACCCGATGTTGATGTGCGAATTATAGCCGCTGGATCTGTCGTATGTAGCAGTAGGTTTGAGAATATTGTTTTTTCGTTGTTCTATTTTTTGTTCTTTTCGATAATTCTTAGGAAAACTAGATCTGCTAATTTTATTCGAGGATAATAATTATGAGCAAATTGAGGAAATCCGTAGAAGCGGATTTTTGCGAATTTAGTTAAAAATTGAAGTATGGTTAAAGTTTGAAATTCAACTTGGCTAGCATACTTAGATGTATATTTAAATGAACGCGCACACTGGGTTATATATATATATATATATATTGGCTTACGCATATATATATAATATATATGTAGTCAAGGGCCATCTTATGTTATAAACTTTGAGGTAATTTATTTGAACTTTTTTACCGCTTAAGAGGCTCAAATTGTTACTATAAATTTATCTTTGCTCATACTTTGTCTTATAATCTTCTTTAAAGAAGTTGTTCTTTCAGGGATTTTCATAATTATGATTGGAAAAATTACCTGTCCCAGTCTCTGAATATTCATAATAGTTTTAACAAAATTTTGAAAATAAATATTGCATAACAATTAGCATATCTTTTTCCTCTGGTTAAATTTTATCGAGAGAGAAAATTTCATGAATAAGGCTTTAAAGTGCATTCTGTATAGTTTTAATGTATAACATTCCATCTTAATTAAAAAAAAAAAAAAAAAAAAAAAAAAAACCAAACAGAAAATCCGAAAAATAAAGCAAAAAAAAAACAAATGACTAATATGTGAATAGAAATATTTCCGAACTAAAATAAGCAATTGTGAGTTGATATTAGTATTTAGATAATGATGAATGTTCGTAAAATAATAATTTATTTTAATCAATTTATTTTGAGGTATTAATCAATTATAAAAAATATGCATAAGAATTATTTTTTTACTTCTATTAAATGAAAAAAGAGTAATTTGTTTGGGAAATAATATTTCAAAATTATATTTGACAAATTTTATGAATATTCACCATTAGTTTTTACATTTTGAAAAATAATTTTATGAAAAAGGGTATACTTCATTTTCTTTCTCAAGGATTATTGTGTTTTAGTATGATGTTTATACAAAGTAAAAGTTGTGCAGGTTTGAAAAAGTGAAATTTCCGGTTTGGCATAGCCCACCCGACCTTATAAAATCTTCGAATATGATAAGTGTTAGCTGATTTGGTTAGTTTAGTTGCAAAAACACAATTAAATACCGTGAAAGGATATTATTATTATTATTATTATTATTATTATTATTATTCATTTAATTTTTGACTTTTTAAAGGAAAATAATTTTATTCGATATAGTTGTGTTTGCTTAAAATTCGTGGTAATTGCCGAATTTTACCAAAACGGTGCATGCACTATGTCCAACTGAAGAGGATTCTCGAGTGCGAGTCTATTTTATTTAATCATATTTTGTTCGTCAGAATTATAAGCAAGAAAAGCACGTGTAATGAGTTGCTTTATCTTTTAAAACTCACGAGTGACAGAATACATTCCAAAACGCAATTATCCGGAATCCTCTTGCGGTGAACGTGTGACTGTAGAGTAAAGGATGAAACAAGGGATGGGGGAGGGGGGGGGGCAGGAATAAAGAATTATTCACGAGATCCAACCCAAAAGTGAGAAACAAAATAACACACTCTGAGAAATAAATGAAATTGTGTAGATACCTATCGCACATAAATTGGGAATCAAGCGTCTTAATTGAGGCTTACATTGAACGGTCAAATTCAACTGATAAAATGTCGTGCCCTCGTCGTTCATAGCTTCACAGATGTAAGTGCCAGCGTCGTGCCTCTCGAGTCGCGTAATATTGAGGGTCGAGCCGCGTGCCATTATGCGCGCACCCGCGGCGCCGCTGCTCAACGGCAGTCCATCCCTCGACCAAGTGTACGTGATGGCGGCTGGGTTCGCCCGGGCAACGACCAAGGCGATGAACGGCTCGCCCTCCATGCCCACCAGTTGACTCGGATCGAGGTTCTCGAATACGGGCTTGTCTACGAACAGCCCCAGGAGTTAGTGTTCCTTGCCCATGAAGTGCCAATAAGTATCAAGTTAGTCTTGCTCGGCCCAACGACCATTGGTGCTCACAGTGATCGCTTCGTAATTTGCTTTTCTCGATTCAGTCATTTCCATTTTTATCGCGGTTTCGCGTGCTCTACTAGGTGAACGAGAGAAATGCGAGTCCAACGACTACGTTAATCTTTATTACACGCGTTTTCAACATTACTCTGTCATGATTTTTCAATAAACCCTCTGTCATTTATAAAGATTAATTTTATCGCCTCTATTAAGAAAAATGCAAGACAAGTAAATCAATATTTATTATGGCCGATGGAATTAGCAAATAAGCAACTTGCAAGTACCAGCCGAATCGATATAATATCATAAGACTTTAATATCTAAGACTTTAATATGTACATCTTTTAGCGCATTTAATGGAATTTTAATGGTTTTTTTGTTGTTGTTGTTGTTGTTGTTGTTGTTGTTGTTGTTGTTGTTGTTCTTACCCTCGTCGATATGAGAAATTAACAAAATTCTATCGACATCACCTAGTCTACATAATTTATCTTCCAGATACCAATATTCAATATGTTGTACCATTTCAAATTATCTTTTTACAAAAAAGTAACATTAAATATATTCTTATTATAGATAAATATCAATCGATTGACTGTCAATGTTATCAATTTGTTGCATATAAGGATAGAAGATGTTAATACGAGCTATTCACTCGTAATCGCATATGAATAATCGTAAATAAGTATAAGGACACGTAGGAAAACGCATGCGAATATTACTTACAGAGAATATTGAGCGTCGTAGTATCGTGCACACTCCTGTCTATCTCTGGATTCTTTGCCTGGCAAGTGTATTCCTCGCCGTTCATGTCCTCGGTAAGATCGAGGACGAGCTCGACCATTGATATGTAGCCGCCGTAGAGGCCGTCCTTTGTGCTGTTCGTCGTCCCGATTACGGGGCTGCCTGACTTCCACCAGGACATTTCTGCCGCCGGATTACTACTCGTCGATTCACACACAAGGCGTCCACTTTCACCTGCTCGAAATGCCGCTGGATGGCTGCTTAGTTTCACCATCTCCGGCAGGACTGTGCGAAGGATCGTGATTAATATTTTTTATATTTTCTCTCGTTTCTCTTTATTTTTATTCCTTTATTATAAAGTCAAAAGATAATGGGCGGACGATGCACGCTGATAGAATATTTTTTCTTAACACTTGAATTGTTGATATATAATATTTATCAACGATATATGGATTATAATTATTGATTAGAAATTCCTCAGGCTAAAGATTGAGTTACATTTACATAACAAATGTAGTTAAAATGCATCCATGCACCTACGCCGGTCTTATTTTTCAACTCTTAATATTATTTGATCGTAAAGTCTTTATAATAAAGTTGAGCTTATTAGCTTATCAATATTTCACGTTTTTAAAATAATTAAATATTCATAAGCTATTGTTTTAGCGAAATATTGCGAACCAGGCAGTTGCGATAATTAAGCACTTCGAGGGAAAGTGTCGTTTAATTTAATCCTTTGAGTGAAAAGCATCGGAGGGACTAAATTACTTACAGTAAACATTAAGATTGACAGTCTGTACGAGAGGTATTTGGGTGGCAGAATTGCTAGCTTCGCAGCGTATGTTGGCTTTATTATCGGAGGCGTTGACTAGGAGGGCTAATTCGCTTGTGACCGCGTGATCACGTGGCCTTGTTGTGCTTGTCATCTGTTTAAGTAATTAAAAACAAACATAGATTTAATACTCTGCGAGAATTTAATATTATCATTGTTTTTTTTTTCTTCTTTATTTCTTTTTTTTTACCAATTTGTATAATCGAGGAGTCAACTATTTATCACGGTATCGATACAAAGCTTTCTTGCCATTTATTTGTTGAGAATTATTCGATTGAGCGCCTTGTGTTTTTAACAAGCTTGGCTCAAAAGATTTCAAACTTCCAAAATTACTTGATAAACTAGAAACATGTGGAAATATAACTTTTTCGAGAAATAAAATCCTTTTTGCATATTAAATTTACTCACGAGCGAATATCAACATTTATGATAGAACTACAAGAATAAGACAATGTATCATGAATGATTATGAAATGTCGTTAGATAACTAAATGCTTGCATCAATTTATAAAAGATTATAAATATACATACATCTATATATATATATATATATATATATATATATATATATTAATTTACCCCATTTGGAAATTTTTTTAATTAATTTTATCGATTCTTATATTTTTATGGAGGAAATAAATCTATCTTAAATTATGTCAAAGTAATTAAATTATTAAAATTTTGTAGGTAAAATTTTCAAGGAACATATTTAAAATTATAAGATTTTTAATCCATTAGCTATATTTCAGTCTCATAAAAATTTCAACGAATTTGACTAAAGATTAACTATTTAACTATTACAAACTAGATAACTATTTCAAATTTTCTATATAATTTTAACTATAAACTAATATGCTAGTAATTATCGTGGATAAGTATTTCATTTATTTAATAAATATTACTAATAAAATCGAAAATATGAAATATGCTTTTTTTAATCCAGCTTTAACAAAGCACGTTTTACGAAAAATTAACATATACATCTTATTTATGAAATTCATTTTTACTTAATAATGTTGAATTTACAAGATCGGAAATATTTTGTTATTTATTTGTTTAATTAAACATATAGGTTGATTTGGCAATTTATTAAACAATATAAATTTCAAATATGATTATGACACATACAATAAAAAATACAGAATAAAACTTTAATTACGAATTAACTATTTGTAGTTTAATAACAAATGATTCATTTTTATCTGTACCATATCAGGTAATTCAAATACTCGATATATTATTTCGACGAACGTAGTTGAATTAAAAAAATCATATTATGCTCTTTGCTCCTCTATTTCTTAACATAATCAATTAATAGATGGATATAGAGAGTGCATAAGTAGGATATGACAAGCCGATCAATTACCTTTTTACGTACCTTATTGTCGTTCTTATACCATGTTATGGTTGCCGGAGGATTGCCAGAAATTGCGGTGCATGAAAGTTTCAGAATTGTCCTTGCGACGATATTAGTGCCCTGCTCATAGCCAGAAATTTCCAAACTAGATGGTGGATCTGGATGACAATGTTTGATAAAAATTAATTACTCTGTTCTCTAATAATCTGTTGTATTCTTTAATCGTTGCTTTTTGTTTTAAAATTAGCAAAAATCATTTATGTCATAGATACAGCAATACAATCGCTTTAGTCCGTAATATCCAATTAATGAAATAAATCATATTTAAATATTTGAATGGATTTGAGAATACAAATAATTAACTTATTTTCATGTATTAGATAATAAGATTTTTAGTGTGTAAATGTAGTAAATACAGTTTAATGTAATTTATCCATTGATAATTATGTGTTATTTATCTTTTAAACTAGTTAATTAATAATTTATCAAAAATAGAAGAAACGTGTACTAAACAAATATTAAATAAAAAATTTAATAATTTAAATTTAAACATGGAATTTGAATAATTTAAACTTAATTTTGAAATATCAATGCTACGGCAATATGAAAGTATTAGTCGTGCTACATATGTTTGATATAGATTAGTGTTAGCATTATAATAGTATGTATAAATTTTTCGGTCTTCAAGGCTAGAGCAGCATCCCTTGAAAGAATGTCCAAGAAACCTCGTTTATCAAACTAATGGTTCATTTACTTTTATTTTCCCTTTTACAAAATCCAACAGAAAATACTGAAAAGTAACTCACAAATAACATTTATCGTGTGGGTACCAACGATAGTCTCGGAAAGTTTGACATTGAGAGCATGACAAACAACAACCGCACGCTGGGCCATTTTGTTAATGTGAAAGGTGATGTTAGAGGTGGTAATTGAGCCACCTTGAGATGCCGGTATTGTTTTTGAGCTGCTATTGATTTTGTGATTGTCAACTACCCATTTGATTTCCGAGGATGGATTTGAGATGTCGGTCGTGCAGGTAATTGTCACCTGTTCCTCGGCCTTCGCTTCAGTTGGTCCGGTTAGCTGGACACTATTCGGAGAAACTGTAACATTATTCGTTTAAATTCATTACACACTTTATCAAAAAATGATTTTTTTTTTCATGCGCAATTTATTTGCATTTTCTAATTTCTACTGTGTTTAAGATATTAAGATTCATCCTATGACTCGCTATAATTTTAATTTAATAACAATTTTGTAATCTCAGTTAAAGTATATTATAAATTCTCAGTTCAATAATATAAAAATTGAAATATAAGGAATCTACAGTTGATAATTGTTTTCAATAACGTATTTCAGAATTATGTATTTATATGTAATTTTATTAATATCATTATATTTTTTTATATTTATATCAAAATGTTTATCGAATATTTTCAATATTTAAATTTGATTATTACATATTATAAATTAAGTTGCAGTTATTTTCATTGTAATTATACAACGGAGTACATAAGGTTATAAAAAATAAAAATAATTCAAGGCTGTTGCAATTAATACTTTAATATAGTAGTATGGTGCTTATAGCGATAATTTTTATTAGGATACAGATTAAATTTCATTTTGACAGAAGAATTTCTTATTTGTAAAAGTGTACCAAATGTACTTTACAAAAAAAAAAAAAAACGGTTTTTAAGAAAGACGTATTATTTCATTAGTATAGATAAAAAGTAACATTTTGGTTGAGATAGAAACTACGTGCTTCTAAGTAGTTACTACTGTTATTCTATATAGTTTTAAAGAAATAAAGATTTCATTCATTTCTCGTAATCTTGTGAAAGAAGAGTAAGTACTGATTTGAAATTTTTAAATAAGTTCGTTCGATGAATTAAAAAAAAATTTAATATTTATAAATCCTGATTGATTTATAATTTCTGAATGTTGGCATTAGCCTTCACAAAATTATGAAAATAACAGATTCAGATTTCATGAGAATTAAACAAATGTACTTACACAAGACGCTCAGGTCGACATGGGTTGTGAGGGGCGTGACGCTCATGACATTCGTCACCTTACATTCGAATCTAGCCTTGTCGTCGCTTGCCTGTGCGATAAACGAGTGCACGTTCTTGGATATGCGACCTTCGGTAGTGTACACTGAGTGGACGACCTCGCCGTTCCTGTACCAGACGACCTGGGCCGGTGGATTGCCTCCCCTTGATTTGCACGTGAGCTCGACTTGCTGACCCCGACGGAGCGTTTCACCCTCGACGTAGCCTTCGATGTAGGGAGCGCCAGGTGGATCTGCAGACAGATGTGCAAGTGGTCGTTAGCCCCTATGTGTCGGCCCTGGCGATTATTCTTACGAGTACTTTTGTTCGGATTAATCGCGAACAGTAGCCAGCCAGTGGCTAGACATGTACGATCAAACAATTCTATTAAGACTTTCAATTAATTATGTCGTGAAGAATATCGATGATACGAATTTTGTCGATAGTTAAAAATATTCTGAAGGATTTCATTTCAACGATATTGTTATTAGGGATTCAGTCTGCAGACTTTTATTGAGATATTTATGCATTAATCCATTTCGGTCCAAATACACTTAATTTTTAATAATATTTTCACTTAATATGGTTGAGTAAAAAGGAATATTTAATTATTTTATGAAAGAGTATATTGTTTTCGTTAAAAATTATCATTAGCCACTCAAATATTTTTTTAATAATAAATCTATTAAATTCATATACTCTTAAAGTTGATGATTTGTTACAGAAAATAATTTATTCTTTAAAATTTGTTCCAATAATGAAGTCTTATTGATATATCATGTTATTGTAAATATCATGAGTTTAGAATAATTGTCAACTACTTACATTATATAAATATTAACTTTTTATTAATGATATCTTTTATAAATTAGTCAACTAATAAAAAAAGTTACATTTCAAGTGATTTCTATTAAAAACATAATATATAAATTTTTTTTTTTTAAACAACTTTCGAAGCATTTAATGATTATATAAATAGTGAAAAATGAAATAAAATTTTCATTGATTGCTGTTATATATTTTTATGTTCGTACATTTTTATTGGTAAGTGCAAGTTCCTTAAGAACTTGATTTTACTGTCAAATACTTTTGGCCAAACTTTTGTTGACTTTTACGTGAGTACTATTTCTTTCCTTTCTTCTGCTTTATTTCTCTTTGCCGTTTTCCTCGAATATCTCATTTTACAAATACGTTCATCGACGCGAATGAATCTGTGAATCTTACATCGAATGATTTTCTCCTCTTATTTTGGAATGAGGTGAAATCAATCAGTTGCTGGAGCTGACGTTGTGTAACTGAGCTTTTATTTGTTTTAGGTTTTAGTGTACGTGAGAAAGGCAAATTTTAGAAAGTTTACTCGACGAAGTTATAAATTCTCGCAGTCTTCTCACTTTGTTTACTCTTCTTATTTATGGTTCTATCATCCCTAATACTGCGCGTGATTTAGTGATTTTATAAAGAACATTTCATCAAGTAGAATAAAAATCGTTTACTCAGTAAAAATAAGCTTCTTTGTAAAATATGATTTTAATATATTTTAATTTTTTCTCATCAAAGATTGGAATATTTGTCTTATTAAAATATAAGCAAGTTATTTCAGTGGCGGCTTAGTAATGGGCAATATTATTATTATGAAAAATATTTGCAATTTTATTAATTAATTAATAAGTGTACATAAGTATATAATATTTTTACTTACTTTATAATTATATTTAATAACAGTGTTGTCATTAATTTATTTAAGAAAGGTTATTGTATGTAATATAAAAAACGTTAAATACATACATACAATTTATTTATTTCTTTTATTTTATTCTGAGGCACTGATGATTTAGAAGCTTTAATAACGTAAGCTAAAAATATAGCTATTAGCTGAACACATTTTATAAAACTTTAATTTAATAAAAGTAAACGGCTTTGAGTAATGTCGGTCACAAAGTTAATTATCATATCAGCACTTATCAAAAAGTGCGGTCGCGTCAGCTCCTTGGCTAAGTTAAGTCATCTCGTAGATGGATTTTAATTTTAATAATATATTATTAAACTTAATTTTTGTCATAACACAATATTAAACATAAAAATTGTACTTTATTAATAAAAATGAAATTATTTTTTAAATGTTTATTAAATTTATTATTGTATATCATTACTGCCTTTTATAAATAGCCTTTATTGTCATTTACAAAGCCGTATTGTTATTTGAGCAAACTATTAAATTCTTATCTAGTGAAATAGTTCAAATTTCAGTTTTATTTTCATTCATATTTAATGGATGACAAACATTTGAATTCAAAATATATATATTTTTGTCAAGATAAATAAATAATATTTTATCATGTCGTATTTGTTTTTGAACTAAACACGAATAATTTATAAAATCCCATCTTAATATTCTTATTAATAATTATTTATTATTATTATTATTATTATTATTATTATTATTATTATTATTATTATTATTATTATTATTTTTATATTTATTTATTAATTTATATTATTTATTTATATACGAAGGCAAATCTTAAAAGTACGTGGTAAAGAAGTGAAACTAAAATTAGTTAATGAATTGAATTTTTTAATCTAGAGTATTATTTATTTACATGTTTAGGGAAGTTACTGTGTCATCATTCGAGAAATTTCATGTAAAACATGCTCGAATTCCATCCAATTTGATAAAGCCATGCGAATTCACTCGAGGTCTTATTTACCCGAGAAATTATGCTCGGTATACTTACAGAAGACAGAGAGTTGAGCACTTGCGCGCATCGGCTTCTCTATCGGTATTGCCGGATGTTTGGCTTCGCATGTGTAGCTCATCTCATCATCATCGGGCGTTGAGGTTATGTTGATCGACCCATGAGTATCGAATTTCTCCAGTTTCCCGTCTTTATGATCTGGTGTCTTTAGAACTTCTTTATCTGGAAAAGGAATGGAATAGTTCTCCTGGTTATTGATACATATGTTTAAAATTTAAGAATCGCTATATTTTATTCTATATGAATATGATTATATAGTATCATGTATGGTGCATTATACAATTATTTATATACTGTGCAAAATTATTGAATTGAATAAGCTAATTCTAACTGTTTTATGAATTATTGTCCCTTTATTGCTTGATTTGAAATTGCAGTATTTTTAAAAATGTGGAGTATTTTTCATCAATTGAAAATTGAGTATATTTTATGATAACTTTTGTATAAATAAATATACACTGTTTTTGGTAAATATATTTTATTTATATGACTGGCATATTTTGCCATTACTAAATAAACTTGGGAAAAGTGGAAAATGATTTTATTTTTTAGTACTTGAATTGCGCAACGAACTTGACATTAAAGTTTAAAGTCGCAAGTAGAGGGCGAGGCTCGTAGCAGTGAGCTTGTACACCTTTGGACTCTTAATTTCCTTCGCACTCGGCATAAATTGACCCTTTAGGTCGGTATATTTTTCGCATCGTCTGCCGAGAAAAGTTTCTCTCTATGGACTCGGGGCGAAAACAGTTGTATTGTCGTGGCCATGGCCACTTAAATCCTGAGCTAAAAGCTACCCCGGAGGCACGGGAGCTTTTAGTTTCGGCTCGTTTACACGTACCCATGTGCAAGCTTTCTCGCTGTTTCTCGCACTATATTTCTTGCCTCGAGCATCACGCAACTTTTAAAAAATATTCTTTATACTTTGCTCTTTTTTATTGTTGCAAGCAGTAGTCTATGGCGAAAAATGTCATGCGCAAATTTTTAGATACAACGTCGTTGCTTTTTATAGATTTTTTGACATTTAAAGAAATTTTTTTAACAATGCTAGCTTTGCTTCTTTTAAAATTAAGGAAAACGTCATTAGAGACAAACTATTTATACTTTTGTAGCATTTTTGTGAACATTTTAGAGTAACTAAACAATTTTAAATGATTGTTTCTTGATCTGTATGTTGGTATTTTTACAAATATCTATTGGAATCAAATGGGAAAATAAATAAATAGTATTTTCAAATAGTTTGATATACATTTGTAAACTATTTATACGAAATTCAAATTTAAAATAAATGAACAAAATTTGTTTAGCTTAACTTTATTTATATAATATAGAAATTATTGATTCACAAAATTCCAAGTATTTATTTAATTAAATAATATTTAATTAAAAATGTAACATTATTGAACACACATAATGTTAAATCGTTAATTAGGAGTATACGAATATAAGCAATTTTTTCTTCATTATTATAAACAAAATTTATTACTAAACATATATTTTAATCTTCCATTAATTCGATTATTATCTTAAATTTATTTAGAAAAATAGGTATTGGAAAAAAAGAAGTGCTCAAACTTTGTTTTAAATTGGCTAAACTTTTTTCGAAATTTTAAAAAACTTTTTATATAAATCAATATTTGAAATTTCATACTGCATAAAGAAAGGATCGAATATTTTAAATTTTTCTAATTTTAAATAAAATGTGAGTCATTGGTTCAATAGTCTTACTCGAGTCGTTTATTACACTCCATTTTATTTTTACTATATCAGGCTCCTTTAAGCTACGTTGGGAAATATTTAATATAAGTCTGTTTCATTTAATTTATATTAAAATTTTTAACAAAATGATTTCATATATTTTTTATGATGACTATTGATCTAAGATACGGTAAGATATATAAACTCTTTTTTAAAAATTTCTTTGTTAAACAAAGAATTGAAAACTGAATATAGTGCAGTTAGAAAAATCCTGTGAAAAATGATATATTATTTAAAAGTTAAAATGATTTTATACATAAAAAAATGTTCTAAATTCTAAATTTTAGATTGTATAAAATAAAACTTAAAATTAATCCAATATATTAATATTTCAAATCAAGGGATTTCATTAATATAATAGTTTTCAAGCTGAATTTAATATTTACAATTTTACAATTTTCAATGTTGTAATAAGTACGTTGTAATATGAAAGATGAAAATTTAATTATAAAAAAAGAAATAGTTTAAACTTGGTTTAAAATCATTAATGGTCATTACAGAAATTTTCAGTTTTATTTGAAAAGTATGATTTAAACTCGTGGCGCCAACATTAAAAATGTTAAATAGAAATTCATAATAAAAACGTGAAAGAGTTAGGTAAATGGAATGGGTGTTATTTCACTCAAATCAGATTTCTATACATTTACTGGTATTTACAAATAAACTGCGCTTTGACTTTGGATAGAACATTTGATTAATATTTGATTATTGAAACGGTTAATAATTTATTAAATTAATTACAATTAATTAAATTTAGATATATCGGTAAATATAAGTTGTGATGATTTTCCGAAAAAAAAATGATAATTTTTTTTTCACAATTATTATGATGCACTTTCAATAAATCACATAATATTATAGTGCAAGGCATTGAATCTATAATTGAAATTTTAAATCTGTCTGTACTGAAATAAAATTTTGATACAATTGTTTCTTTCGTAATAATTTTTTTAATGGAACCTTATTATAGATAAAATAATATACACAAGCCAAGGCTTCAATTATATTGTTATTTAATGTATTGTCATACAATAAAACAATACGAGTCTTACAGGCTTAGTTTTTGAATACACATATATAAACACACATTTTGAACAGGAAAGAACAAAAATTGATGTTGATTGGTCAGCTTGTAATATGATAGAAGCGGAGAAATATCGAGACTCTCCAAAACTGAGCGAAGCTATAAGCTACGAGCGATAAAAGTAGATAAAAAAGAAGTAAATGAAGGAGAGCCAGGGGTGAAAAAGGCCTATGTACTTTTTCTTCGTATTTTTGGTCAATTGCTTGCTACATAACTCTGGCGCGTTTCCAACTTTCCGAAATCAACGACACACCATTTCTCGTTGCCTTTATCCTCCCTTCGCTTGCTGCCGCTACTTTTCTGCTGCGGTTAACGTCGTTACGGAAGCCAGAGGCTTTTGCATTTTCCAACGGAATCACTTCTATCTGTCTGCCTATCTGTTTTTCTCTCTTTCTTTTATGTCACTCTTTTCTGTCTCTCTAGCACGTTTCAATACCAAAAAAGGTTTTACTACTAATTTATTCAAAGATTATAGTTTCGGAGCTTTCACGATTTTAGAACAATTACTTTGTGCATTTGTCCATAAGTCAAATATTTATGATTTAGTATATGTTCGAGATTCTCTGAATCTCGCGAAGGTTATCAGTTGGGGAAAAATTCTAGCGTCTATCATTTCAAGAAAAATATTGAATTTCGGAAAGCGGAATAAATGACTTTTGTTGTTAGCTAGCAAGAACGCGGCTAGACTGTTTATGCGAGAACATTTCGAGAGTGTCAGATATACATAAACAATCGAGTAGAAAAACATTTCCTAAATTTCATTGTAACTTGGGTGAGGGGTGAGCCGCCCAATTGAAGGCGCAGCCGTCAGAGACACTTTTTTGATGTAGTAATTGTAAATGCTTTATTTCTTCAGGAGTAGGAAAAAAGTCTTGCATGCTGAGTCATGTCTCCCAAAAGCGGCGTCCTCTGATTGGAAACAAAGGGAAGGGATTTCAAGTTGATATCAGGTTCAGTGAATTATTTACGAAGGAAAAACACAAAATTCAAACACTCGCGCTAAAATCGCAACGAAAGAAGTAACATCTGAGAAATAACAGCTGAGTCCGAAGAAAGCTTAGTCAGTAATCTTCGTAATAGAAAAGTGCGATTCCTCTAGTAGCCAGTCCGAGCCCAAGGAGATCTTAACCTACGCGACGCGAGGACCCTGCGTCGCCCCTTCAGTTCCATTCCGTGTTGAGCCTAACTTTTAATAGAAGCCGTTTGTAGCTAAGCGCATGAAGCAGTAGCAGATTCACCACGTGGCACTACTCGAAGAAGTGGTAAGAGTGTTACACTTACAAGAGTCTTACCTCTCCTTTCTCAGGGTAACCTACCATCAAGGGCACCACGTGACGTGGATCAGGAACCTTACAACCTCCTACCTCCAATCGAAGTGCACACTAACGTCATGTGCCAATCGCCACAGAGCAACAAAGGTTCATCTATAACTTCATCAACAATAATCATCCCTATATTTGGAAAGTAGACGGAATAAACAGCAATAAAAAACAGATGTGTTAAATATTGAATCAATGCACTAACCATTTCACTTGTATGTATAATTTTAGGGTACTTTTTATCAACAGGTTATACTTATACCCTGTAAAATTTTAAATTATTTAATTACTATATAGTATTAGATTTTGAACATAATTATTCATTTTAATTAAGTTTAAAATTTTCTTGAAATTTACGAGTTAGGATTCGTTCCTTTTATGGCGATGAAAATGCATCTATCTGTATCTAATAAAATTTATATATGGGAATTTCGAGGATATCTGTAAATATGAATTAGAATTTCAAATATAAAAATACATTATCAGAGACGACTTATATATTAAAAAGTTAAAAAATGCGTTGTTACGGGAACAAATTAGTATTTCAGCTAATTCTAGGAATGATAAATAATTCTGAGTAATTGTCCTCTTATAATATATGGTACTTATATAAATTACCAGCAGTTTTTCTAGCATTGTTTATTATAAAAAGATCATTGTTATTCAGTATATGTAATAATACAATGATATATAATAATATATTGACGAACACGTAAGTTTTTATGAAATAAATTTAAATAAAAAAAGGTAGTTAGGAATTTAATTATATACTAACTTGTGCAATGAATTTTTATTGTTTTATTAAAATAATAAAAATAAAAAAAAAATCATATAGAAGTTTATACTATACATATAAACGAAAATATAATTAAAATGGATTTATAACTAAGAAGGTAGTGTATATTAAAGTTATTTTATATGTTTGAAATTTAAGATTAACTTACATTGGTTAAACTAAAGATTCTAGATTCTGGATATTATGTATATCATCCAATTACATATCAATACATAAAATCCAAATAAGCTGATAAATAAAAATCACAGATATTAAATTTGTTAAGAATGTACAATATTATTTTAAAGCATTTAATAAAATAATAGTACATAATCTGATGGAGATGGAATTTTGATATAAATAAATTATTGTGAGCATAATTCTGTACATAAATTTGATATACAAAATTTTTCAGAAATAAATAACGCATTAAGTAAAAGTTTTAGTTTACTTAATAATTTGTATTAGTATGAATTAATATTAAATAAATTATTAAGGAGAATATAACATTACAGTAAGTTTTGAATATAAATTATAAATAATTGCTTATATTTATAATAAAGTGGCTAGAACAAAGAAATTAATTTACAAAATATGTTGTAGTTATGTTATTATAGTAGCGAAAATTTTTTAATGAAAAATTAAAACTCAACACGAACTATTTATAATTTTTAAGAAACGTTGAATTTAATTAAAATATTTATAAAAATATAATTGTAATACAATTGCTTTTTGTCACTTTATTAATGAATTGAATTATATTACAATAAAACTATATTCTCTTTCTTTTTATGCAGTTTGAGAATCCAATATTATTTAAACTAGAAAGAAAATTGATTTTAGTAAAATTTCAGTTATTATATTACAACGGAAATAATAAAATAGCATCTAATAATTAAATCACTACAATTTTATTCAATAAACTTTTGTATTAAAAATAATGATTTTTTGACAAACATAAGTATAAATTAATATTTAAGTTTTTTGTGATGAATTAATACTTTATAATTAATAATAGTACATTTATTTTTAAAATATTATAGAAAATATTGTACTAGGGAATAAATATAAAAAATAAATAGCAGAGCGAAGTTATATTATAGAAAAATACCATTAGAAGAAGATAAGAACATAATATTAAATTGGATAGACGAGCAAAGCGGTTTTGTATTTTAGATGAATTTCACATGAAATAAAAAAGAAAAGTATTTTTATATTTATTATATGATGAAGCTTAGAAATTTTAATATTATTTCAAGGAAATCAATAGTCAATCAATAAATAAAAATCAATCAATAAAAGAAACTAAAGTAAATTCACAAGTTTAATTTTTATATTTAATTATAATTTGAATTTGAGAAATGGAAAGAGTATCTTTGCTTGAAATTTAGAATTGTACTAACTATTTTGAATGAATTTTGGAAAGATTTATAATTATTGTAAATAAATGTCAAGATGATCGATATTTTAACTTTTAATATAAATTTACAATTATGTAAAAGCATAATTCTACAGATTGGTGCCAAATTCTTTTTTGAAGAGAGCAATAGAATATTTCATAATTTGTAAGAGTTAAATTTTCAAAATGTTAGATTTTATTTTATTTCTAGAATTAGCTTTAAAAATGAATTTTGAATTTCGATACACATGGAAATGAAATATAATGTAAATTTTTCTTCAATATAAATATTACATACACATCAAAAATAAATATTATTTGAATGAATATGTAATATTAAATGAGAATATGTGTTAGAGTAATGTGGAGAGAAGGACAAATGTGAGATATGAAGAGAAAAAGAGAACAAAATCTGGACATTGTAATATTTTCCTAAGATTAAATTTCCGTCAAGTAATAACACTTAAAAAATAACGTGAACAGTATATTGTTAATGACAAGTTTGAGCTACTTTTACGCAGGCAGTTAAAGGTCTGTGATATTTCAACTTTTTTTAAGCGGGTATAGAGTTTAAATCTTTTAGGATACATTTTTGGTAAACTTATTATATAATTGGAGCATATTGTTTTAGCGTTATAGTAAATTTTTTACAGATTATTATGTTGTTTTATAGTATTAGGTATAATTTTATATTATAATAATATCGTGTTAAAGAATAGTTTATGAAATATAGGAATAGGAATGTAATTTCGTTGTAAATTCATTCAAATAAATCTGTTGTAATAAGTTATTTTTTATGATTAAAATTTTATAATACAATTTCTCAGAATAATACAATTATTAAAAAATTGGGTTTGATATTCAGTTTTGAATTTTTTATACGATTTTCATTAAAATTCATGTTTGAAAATGTGCTTTAAAATGGATAAAATTATAAATAAATTTTATTTAAAAATAAAGGATTGCCTTTATAAATAAATAAAAACTCTTTTTATGTAATCAAAATTAAAACAAAATTTCATAACATTTTTTTAAAAACCTATATATGTTGCATTATAGTACAACAAAAGTCGATATATTTTATCAGTATTTTTGATTTGTCATAAATAATTAATGCAAGTAAACCAATTAGCGTTTTATAATATATTAAAATTTTTAACAAATAATACTCAATCATACGAAATTATAAGGATTTGTAACAATTTATAAGAATTTATAATATTAAAAGAATTTTTTAGAATTATTCAATAAATAATAAGTTCATTTGGAGCTCTGGTACACATTTTGTGGAATATAAAACATTCGAGGCATTCAAGTATATATTTTATTATTTTAAAATTTGTTCAAATTGAATTACATTTAGTTTCAATTTTATCGTGTAATCAGTTAGAGCTTTAATATTATTCACTTTAAAGACTGAAAGTATATTAAATAAAAATTTATAAAAATAATATTTTGGGTATTCGCTATAAATATAATCGTTATTTTGCAATTTAATTCATATAAAGTAAAATTATTTTGTTAAATTAAAATGAAAATGAAACAAAAAAAAAAAACAAATGAAATTGACAGTTTTTATATATTGTTTAAATTCATTTATCAATTATATGTAATATTAGTAACGAAAATGTTTTCATTTATTGAATATAAACTTGTAATGAACTAATTACTATAGGAAGATTTGAAAATATGTCAATATTCACAGGCAGACCCACGCACACGAGCGCAACTATATGTGCACGCATACCAAAAAGTAGGGTATTTAATAGCCATACCAAAAGAAAATGTTTCATTAGTTAAGTTCGTTATTTGTAAGAGTTTTCAGTAAATTGAAAGTAAATTGAATAATCATTAACTATTTGGAAATGATTATTCGTAATTATTGTCTTTAGTGCAGCAAAGTTTAGAACGTAACAATTGTGAAGACAATTAATATATATGTATGATTCTTATTAAGGTATTATGCAACTTTAAGGTGAAATGACTTACATTTAAACATTATAAAAAAATCGTCATACTGCACAGCTCAAGGTTTGATTAAATTTAATTTATTGGAGCTTGCAAGGAATGTTAATTAAAAAAAATTAAGAATTTAAACGTTCGACAAAAAGCCTTCGACCAGAGCTTTTATCTGAAATTAAATTTACTTAACGTATTTTAGTGAAAAGTTCGAATGAAATATCGTTTCATGAATTTAATACTGACCGTCAGCGATCGGGACGGACGTGACATGGATATCGCCACCTTTGATCTGCACATTACCACGGTACCACACAATTGTTGCTGCAGGCTTGGCCATTCGCACAGTGCACTCTAGCTTTAGTGACTCGTTCTGCTTGATCTCGATTTTCGACCGACGCCGATGACTGGTAATTTCCACCGACTGGGGTGGTGCTGCAATCACAAGGGAAATAATGCGCGATTAATTGACTTACTTATTTATGTGCGTACTTCTATTTGCCTACTTAGCAAAGATATTTTCGTATTTTCGATGACTGGGTATGTCATAAAATTTTCAAATCCTACTGGCAATATAAATATATATTATTACATTTTTAGAGCCTTTTTTACCTACATTCATGTATATTGTTTAAATTTAGTGATTAATCATCTTTTCATTCAGAAAAAGGTGAAAAAGAAGAAAAATATATTCGTAAAATTAGTGTGCCTAAGACCAAATTTTTCTAATTTTATTGTAATAATTTATTGTAATTTACACCTATTGTCATAAAGCCAGTAGATTATTACGGAAAAGTTGTATTTGTTTTCGGAATATGCTATACTTTGATAGCTAATTAGTTGTATATGATAAGACTGTGTTATAAAATATAATGTTTTGTAGAATCAAATAATTGATTTAGGTTTATTCGAAAACAATAATATTCTGATCGTGAAATCTTATTTTCAAAAAGAATTTCAATTATTTTCAAAAAGTACATAAAAAATGTAGCTAATTTAAAATAATAAATATAGCCTATATAATATATAATACAAAATAATATAATATAGCCTAGTTTTCATTTAACTAATTCATTAATAAGAAGTAACAGTAATGAAAAAATAATTGTCACTTTTATTATACGCCCCATTTTATTGGCTAAATTAAAGCCGAAATGACAAAAGAAAAGAAAAAAAAAAGGAATTGAGCCAAGATGAAAAAAGAAAACGATACTGAAATAAAAAAATTTTTATGAATCACGGAAAAATAAAATGAAAACTTTTTCATGGCTCTTGCACGTTGTAGAAGTGTAGAAGCTTTAAGAGAGACAGAGGCGTCCAAAGAAGGGGATAGTTAAGGGCCTCCACTTTCCTTCTTCTCGACAACATTAAACGCACATCGTTTTGATAAATGGGGGGGGGGGACTTAACAAGTGCTTTTACAGTGTCCTAAAATGAATTTATTACAAGGCTGGCGTAATACAAAAATCGAAGTATCAGGCCGAGTTGTCTAGCAATTATGGCGTTGACGAGGAGGCGGAAAAGTCAGAATTGGCTGAACTTACGGCGTCGGAAAGAGCACCAGGCATTTCCAACTTTAGCGCAGATCAGACTCGCGAAAATGTGTCCGCTTATTTTGTTCAATAGAAAACTTTAGTTCCGCGCATGCGCCACAGACTAAAAACGGGACAATTTTCGGATAATTCGCAGTAATGGGAGCACGGCTGTGTAGTCACTTGTTTTATGAGAGTCGAGAGTCGTACTGGAGGGTAATGAAAATGCGTCAAGTAGAAATGCGGATGTGTTTGTTTGTATTCCGTATGTACGTAATGCGGCCTTTGCCTAATTAATTTTTCCTGCATCCTTCTCATATTTTTTTTTTATCATTTTTTAGTTTGTTTTATTATGTATGCTTGGGACTTGAAGTTTTGTTGGTTCTCATAAATTCTAATCGATAACGGAAAATTGTGAAATTTTTGTACGATGTAAAATAATTTGATTGAAATTTCATTTTAAATTCAATATTGTAAAAGCAATGTCGATAAAACATTTTAAATATTAACTATTTCATATACTGGTGATAAAACTGTTCTTTGTATAATCTTATATTGATTTATAAGTAAATATTACATATCAATGATCATTGACTAAAATTACACATATTGTTCGTGAGAAGAAATTTTGATAATAATTTATTTGTGTGTGGTTGAAATAAATTGTAGGGATAAAAATTCTTTATCTCAGAACAATCAGCACTGTACGGTCTGATTAATTGCTCTCGTTTAAAAATTGTAGTACAATTTATAAACGTTATCATCACACATATTAAAAACGCTTACCATTCTAAAATGGAAAAACAAATGCAATAATGCAAAAAATATTGCTCATTCTACTATCTATAAGCATATCTTCGTCATTTTAATTATTGTGAGTATATATAACTATCGTGCCGTACATATGCATAAGCGATCGCGTTAATATGACAAATAACCGGCCGTCCTTTTCATTTGTAACGAGGTCAATGTCGTTTCATGCCTCAGAAAATGTAACTGAGATACAAGAGTTTGGCTGAGGGCGCGCACACACCGGAACATTAAAACTTTGCATCCTTCCTCAAGTTTGCTTCTCTCGCTCTCTCTCTCTCTCTCTCTCTCTCTCTCTCGTTTACCCTCTCTTTTAACATGTTTTTTTTTTTTTAATTTTATGACTCGCTCTTTTTATCGTGTTTTTACGTTTTGCGATATCTTTTGGTCTCCGCGCAACATTTTCGGATTGATGAGTTTAGAAGAAGGAAGCCTCACAGCTATTTTGTATGAAGCTGTATCTCTTACGTGCCTGCTGGCTATTTCCTTTTTTACCGAGTATTTTGTGGTTTCTGCAAAATGACGACATTCTTGCTCTAGTTACTAAATTAAATTGAAAGATAATGATTAAGCAAGTTTTTATGGTTGTTAATTAATTATTCCCTAATTAAATTGGTCGAAAATGTTAACTGTCATGAATAAAGCGTTTAATATGTAACTTAAATACCACGCTAAAGAATTTAAAAGTTTTTAAAATAGTTTCGAATAATTAATTTCTAAACAATTTGTAAAACGGTATTCTTACTCGGGCAATATCTGTTCTAATAAGTCGTGCTTAATTCATCGAATGCTAAATTTATGAAACTATGCATTTATTAGTAGAGTTATATTTAAAGTTTTAACAATTACAGAAAGAGGGGGTATTAAATTCGGAGAAATAAAAATACTCGTTAAACTTGCAAAAGCTTCGATTCCACGGTTCAGTTACGTTTTTGGGACGAGAATAAATGGTTTCAGTGGTAGCCGTAGTTTCGTATAAATTCACCTCCTTCGGTGGAATTGTGCTTCACTCGGATTCTTGCGGAAAGTTGCATGAAAGTTGCATGAAAGTACGCGAAGATGCGTGCGCGCATAAACATATGCTCGATAGTTAATTAGGCAGTAAACGAAATGGATGCAGGTTCTTTGCTGGCGATTTTATCCTTCTCTAATCTCTCGATATCTTATCATCTCAATGTGGGGTAAGAAGACATGAAATTAGGCAGCATAGTTATAAATCACCATTACCTAACTTTAAAGAATGGTGCACAACTTTGCATCAGCTTACTTTAGTTGTGAGTAGAGTGGGTATACCGAATATCAGATGTAGCTCGTTTCGAAAGCGTTACGTCTGCGATTACAGGCTTCGTCTTTAAGAGTTACAACAGCCCATCTTAAATCAAATAAAATGCCCAATGTATCGTGTAACGGTAAGCAAATTAAATTCTGTAACTGCGCTTCTTTACACAAGGAAAACAAATTTACTTTTACAAGTGAATTGATAACCCTGCTAGCATTGCGAAGTCTGGTTAATGAAAAGTTATGCTTCTTAATTGCTCGGCATTGTGAGTTTTACTAAAAGTACTGTTTATCAAGTAGCAATTTACAAACTATTGATAAATATACTATAAATATACCTTTAATTATATTTTTTTTGTCGTAAAGATGTTAATAGAGGATTCAACCAATTTTTATATAATTTTTCATTCTAATTCAAAGTGCAAATTTCAAAACGACTCGTTACATGTACAATATCCATATACATGTACCAATGCGTATGCGTGTATCTATAAGTGTATCTATGCATGTATATATGTATTTTGTATTTATATCGAAGCAAGATTGAAATATGTACATTATGAAAAAGTTAATGAATTAATAAAGGAATTTATTCTTGGCTCATGTTGATAAACAAAATTTCTTTTTCGATTTAGGCTTTTCTGTTCCTTGCATGGAAACAGTGTTATATACGAATTTCTCGGCTTTTTCGCGAGTTCTGCATCTCGTAAAGAATTCAATTACGGTATCTTGAATTATCAAGCAACCGCGGCGTTCTATTCTTCCGTACTACGCGGCAGTGAATCTCGAGAGATGTAAAGCGCATTTTAGGGAACACGGGAGAAATAAAATATAATCGCACTGTTTCCTTTTCATGGAAACGAATATTATGAGTATAAGTATGCCCGCCTGCTTATGCGTGTATATGCATGTGTATGCATGCAAGCGTACATATATTTGAGGTGGGATACCGGAGCGAATGAAGTAACCGCGTAATGTATGTAGCTGGTGCAATAAGCGGCGATTTATTATGCATTGCTGCTACTACTGCGGCTACCGGAACAATGACGTAATGATTTTATGGTGTATATGCTTGTGAATATTAACGTGGCATTAATAAATAGAGGATGGAATTGATTGTTATGCCTCTTTTACTCTCTACATGCTGAATAATATTAAAACAATACAATATTGCACGTAAAACTTGCAGATATTATTTAATTCATTATGAAATATAAAATAGTAAAATAAAACCGTCAAAGATTAAAAAACCGATTTTTTTAATTGATTATTTGGAATTTTGAAATAAGTCGAATATATTCGTCAGAATTTTTTGGTGTAATTTATAAGATGAATATTATATTGTATTTCAGACCAATTTACATTTAAGTATATTTTGCATAAAAATTAAATATTTAGCCGTAAAACTAGTGAAAAAAAAACGTATTAAATATAATTTAAATTTAAATATAAGTTTAATATTATGAAGAATAAAAATTATTAAAAAGAAAGAAGGAAAAAGTAATGTTATATTATTTGGGACTATCATTGAATTAGTTTATTTAAACATTTAAAAGAAAGAGAAGCTACCGAAGAAATTGAATATGAACTAAATTTATGTGCGGTTGAAGGAAATTGTCCCATCAATTTTCACATTTTATGGTCTTTATATGGAATATATCAATGATACGCAACGAAATTTTTTTTATAAATCTTTCTTATTATCAGTTTTTTCTTTAACAATATTTTTCCATATTTATAAATATAGTAGAAATTTTGCAATTATATTATAAGAGTTTATGTTCTTTTAGTTTATCATAATAATATCATCTTTTT